AAATGTGATTTGTCGAGGAAGACCACAATTTTCTCGCTCCTCTGATTTCAAGCGAATAGATTGCTTACAAAGAATTAGGAGTATAATATATTTCAAAACCTTTTCAAATGGAATAACTCTACTTTTACTTATAAGAATTAAGTATCTCTATCTATTCTAGAGATTTAAATAAAGTTTAAATATTTAAAAATATTGACGCAATGCTACGCTCAAAAAGTCTTATTATCTCACCTTCTCGTTGAAATTTGGTCAACTACCCATCAAATTAATGGATCTATATTAAAGCTAATTATTAGCCCTCTCAAAACACGTTTAAAATGACTAAAAACATTTTAAGATATTTTTTACGATTAGTCACGTAGTGGTTCTTTAGCCGTATATTTAAGATTATAATAACCATATATATACATATATAACGATTATTTATTTTGTCATTTTAGTTGAAACAAAAAAAAATTCCAGGGTATTAAAAGGTTAATTGTACTGTAATTCGACTCGCTTTCTACAGACTCTCATTTAAATGCAATACACATAAAATATAAATATATATATACATAGAAATACATATATCTTTCGATACAATTCTCAGTAACTGAACCGGTCACAGCCAGCGCCAGCGCTAGCTTTACAATAATTATGTAAATTATTCGTTTTACCGCAATTGTCGGTGACCTTTTCGTTTTTTTCCTTTTTATGCGAGTGCGCCAATTAAAATGGATGTCGGTTGCATTTAGAACGTCGCGACGTTGCAAGCATGCGTTGCACTTGGCCATCGAGTCGACGCAACAGGTGTCGGACATTAAACCGGGCGACAGCCGGTTTGAGCCACGCGCTCTGCTCGAGCTGTGGGCGATTCGGTAACTGGCATACCGTTAGAGGCCGTTGCATGAAACTGCACTGAATCATATGAGTCAGATGCGATTACCAAATGAGCTTAGTCAATCCATCCATCAGTCGTCAGCTTCACGCGAAGTTGATGTGTGAGAACTGAACTGAACTGAACTGAAGCTGTTGTCAAAATTGCAAATCTATGTGTGTGTATATTAATCAGATTTCAACAGCATTTGTTAGAGTGGCAACGCATTCAAAAGTTTATTATTCTTGCAGCTCTTCGAAACCAGTTCAAACTCAATTCAGAACTAGTTTCAAGCACTTCTGAAACTATTGCAAATTTATTTTCATTTTTAAGGGCAATCAAATGTTCATGTTCATGTCAATCAGTAGCTCATGCAGCTAAATCAGCCTCCATATTCGAATACCCAAGACTAGATTGGAAATGGTTTTATCAAAATAACAAGAATAAATTAGAATGCGAGAAGAGCACAGTTTGCATAGCTTTTAATACGCATAAATGCTCTAATTAGTTGCGCTGGGAGCTAATTATAAGTTTTCTCCGAACTCGATAACGAGTTAACATTTAATGACGAGCTTAGGCCACACACGCGCCTCCCACACAGTCGCACGGGCGGAAATGAACAATGGCAAATTGCAAATCAACGGATAAAGGATTTCGAGGTGAATCAATGATGGACTGGGTGTGGGTAGTCAGTGTAGGGGTCTTGGAGTCTGCTACTCACCTCGTGGGCTTTGGGGTGTTGGTGCTGGCAGTTGTGCGCATTAACTGTCAACCAGCAGCAGCAGCAGCAGAGGTACACAAGAATGGCCAATTGAAGCTGGTCCGGACGTTGCATGGCGTTTCTCAATGCGTGGGCGGGTATTGTTGGTTGAGTTGAGGCGTTGTTGTGGGAACTAATAGTCGAGCTAGCTCCGTACTAATTATAGAAGTAATGCAGGAACCTCTCACTCAATGCCAGGTTTGCATGGTGAGGATTGTTATTGTTCTTGCTGTTGGCGTGGAACAGCTTCAGTTGAAAACCTGCACACACGCACACACACAACGAACATGCATATAGTTGTGTGTGTGCTTGCACATGCACAAACACTTAAGCATTTGTTTGCAGCGTTTCTCGATTGTTGTTGCATGCTTTATTAGCCGATATTTGCTCATACGCTTTATGCTTCTTTCTTTGTATATGTATATTTTGCTTATTTTTTGTTGTCAATTAACTCGCGCAACGAAACCGGCTGGGCAGCCCATGCTCCTGTCCCTGCCTCGCCCGCGCTTACACACACACGTAATATATATATATATACATATATATACACACACACAGGCACAGTCACTTGCGCTTAGTTACACAGCAAATTGGAATTGGGGCTTTGGTTTTGGATTTGGGTGGGTGCGTCCGCGTCCGCGAATTTGGTCTACAAGCAGCCGCAACGCCAACAAGCCGCCGCTACGGTGCCACAATCTTTGCCTGCAGTCGCTTGTGTTGTTGTTACAACAACAACATTTAAATGTCAAATTCTCATGAACTGCATTGACAGGCGTTTCATTTAACACTGAATGGTCAACACATTATTTATAAAATAACAGTCTCACACATAATATTACATTTATTTATACATTTTCATTCATTATAACATATAAACAAACACAAACACAATAAACACGGTCTATGGAGTCAACAATAGGAAAGACGCGATAACAGCGTCCTACTTGGTTGACGTTCGCTTCCGAATTGAATGAATGAGCAAATGATTGTTGTTTCTTAAACAAAAAATCGATAATCCGATATGTTTTGATTGGTGCGACCTATCGTTGTGTGTGAATGCAATACAAAATATATCGAGTATTGACATCGATAACAAACTAATAAAAACAGCTGTTTAACTTGCTCGTTACGAATTCAAAATATATTTCGCCATTTTCAAAACAAGAATTAAAATATGATGCATTTACATGTATATGTATATTAAAGACCTATATATAAGTAAGAATCCTCCATGGTTTTCCTGTTAAGGGGTTTTTGCTGTCAGTTGCTTCCGAAATCGACTTTGGGCCTCCACAGGCCAATTCTTGAGTTCGACTTTGCCACATTCCAGGCAAAAGGTTTTTGTGTAATAGAAACTGCATAAAGTATCCTTACATACAACTTTGTTACAATTGGCACACTTTACGCCCAATGCCACGTAGAACTCTGGTTTGGATTGCCAACGTGGCGGCGGTGCCTGAAAGGGATCTCGTAACACATAGCTGTCTTCACGAAATTTAATGCCTAGAGCGAAAGGCGGCGTTCGTCCATAGTAATGTACCATTTCGTGCATATTGCAACCACTGCAATGAAATTCGATTGTGGCCACACGTTCATCTAAATCTTCCTGTGCTTGCGGCTCCACTGGAGCAGTCAGCTGAAGTCGTTGAATTTCGGACGCCTCATTGTCAAGGCAAAGATCATCATCCTCAATGGCGTATTCGGCCGAATCCTGTGTCATTTTGAGCACTGCAAAAGTGAAGGCCACAACGAAACTAATAACATAACTTCATAAACTAGCTAATCTATCTCTTATATACAATACAAATTGAAAAAATTGCAAACAATGATGTAAAAGCCATTCAAGTCTCCAAAAACTTATTCCATTGCAGCAAAGCTACGCTTGTTGACTGCTTCCTTGGGCCACCAACTCGGACGATCCACATAGCAGCGCTCTCCGTCTAGCATCAATTGCTGTTCGCTATTCAGCACCGGCTCGACACGCAACAAAGCAACGCCATGATTATGTGCATGACCAAAGACGCGTCCAAGATTCGCGCCAGCCACAGATTTTACCGTAAAATGGTTGGAAACGGGCGCCGTAAAACGAATAGGCATATAACGTTTACGTATGACACCAGAGTGATGAACCCGAGCCGTTAACTCCTGGCCCACATAACAGCCCTTGTTGAAACTAACTCCATTGAGATAGTCGGCGTTGGCTTCCAGCGGAAAACACTTGCCGGGTGGTAATTCCTCTACACCCTCACCGATGCCTTGCTTATAGCGGAGCAACTTATAATTATTTTCGGGCGTGGAATTAACAGCGACAACATCGTGATGACACCATAAATCCTTAGTTAGTTTGGTGGCATTAATATCGCCGGGAGCCAAGACACGTGTTCCCATGATACCAATACGCGGGTCAGGCGCTATAAACAAATCCATTGCCTTGTGAGTTCGTATATTGCCGCGCCCCTTCCCATTGAAGAGCACCCATGGCACATACTCATCATCAATGGTGTCGATGTCGATCCGTTTTCGTACGCGATATGTGCGTAAATGGCGTCGAAAATCCGACGATGCATCTCGATCACATTCCAGCAGAAATGTATCCGGATCATTGGTTCGATAGATAATTGTATCGTACAATAGACGACCGCCTCGGTTTAGAAATAGAGCATACATCGATGATGGTCCACTCGGTTCTTGCAGGCGCGACACATCGTTGGTGACAAGACCCTGCAGAAATGGTACTACCTCCGCACCATGAACGCGAATAAGTTCTCGCTGGTGCAGTGGCTCTAAGGTGAATGTATTATTTGTTGATCTGGGTGATACCGCACGTCCGCCAAAGTTGCGTATACAATCACGTGCAACTCGTAGAAACTTGAAATTTTTACATACATTCATTCTGCGAATAAACGTATGTTTGCGAATCTCAACGAATGTTGCATAAGTTCTGCTTACCTTCAATTTTTAATATTCAAAAGTCACAAGTAGAAAGAAATCATCAAATACACGAAATTTGTGAGTGAACACAACCAAGTAACAAACAGCTGACTGAAATAATAATAATCGTTCTCGATGACAAGCTCATTGCTATGGCTACGGCTACTAGATACAATTACATACAATTGTGCAGCGGCTGCACAGCAGTCTATTTGGAGTATAATTGGAATTGTTGTAATTATTCGACCTGAATTGCAAAATGTTTTATAAGAATATTTCTCACTCTAAATATCGCCACTAACCAGATATCGCTTTAAAGTTTATAATACTAGGTCACACTATATTCAAACGATAGCTCATAGTACATCACTAACGTTTTTCAATAATTTTAAAATACAATCCGTTTCACGAAAATACAGTGAATTTTAATTAAGGTAAAAAATAAATTAGAAATACCAGTTTAAAAACTCGGTTTATTAATGTTTAGCAATGAAAGAAAATCTAAACCCAAACAATATTTGTTCCGCTGTCAGTAAAATATTTACAATGCCTAACATGAATTTTAATTCAAAATTGGAAAATCCTAATGAATTGTTTCAACTTAATTGCTAGCTTTTGGCGCTATTTTCTTGGCCAGTGTATTCATTTGGCTATTAGTTTTCTTTTTTGGCTTCTTGTTCTTTTTGATTGCATCAACTTTAACGCCTCGGTATTCAGATTTCTTTTTACCAGCTGGTGACTTGACGGGTTCTTGGCCTTTTGCTTGCTCTTTTTGTCGTTTATCTATGCGTTTCTTAGCACCCACCGCATTTTGTTTCTTTTTGGACTTGGTTTGCGGTCCCGCCGCAGTAACAGCATCGCGAGCCTGCTTAGCTCCCAGTTTCTTCACAGAGTAGCGTTCCACGTGTATGGGTCTATCATCCAGCAGCGTCTCATTCAGCTCCAGTGCTAGACCGACAGCATCTGGTTTCTGGAAACAAACATATGCCACACCCTTGCAGCCCTTCTCGCCGTCCTGTAGACAGCGTATGTAGTCAATTTCGCCACAGCTGGAGAAGATCTCCCGCAACTTTTCCTCACTAGCCGCTGAAAACAATACAGAATCCGTTAAAACAGTACTATTTCAGAGAAGATTACGTACAGTATTTAAGATTCCCTATGAATACGGTTCGCTTGACGTCGGCTTCGCTAGATGCTTGCCCATTGCCAACATCTTTCACTTCGCCGCATTTCGCTGCAGGCGTAACACGCAAGTGATTCTCTTTAAATTGCGTACCATTCAGCGCCAGCGCTTTTTGTGCTATCTCTGGGTTGTCTAGTACCACGTACGCATTTAGGGAGACAGCTGCCTTGCGCTGCTTGAGCTTAAACAGCTTCTTTCCACCGGCCGTACGCAGACGGATTGAATGGACCGCTCCAAAAGGCTTAAGTAAGCGCACAATTTGAACGCGTTTTGTATTTATGGGAAGATTTCCAACAAATATTGTCGCAGCTTCGGCGGCAGGATCTCGTATCCGCTTCACTTCATCTATTAAAACAAATTTCAAAAGTTGTGAGAGTTAAATATTTACGCAGTTTAATTTCTTACCTTCATCCTCATCATTTTTCTTCTTGTTCTTTTTCCCTTTCGTTTTTTTGGCCAACTTTGTTGCTGATTTTGCTTCTGGTACACTCTTCTTTTTGTCCGGTGTTACCTCAGTTTTTGGCGCGGCTTTGACTATTAATTTAGATTTCTTCTCTACTGCATCGGCCGTTAACTTTTTCTGTTGTTTCTTTAACTTTTGTGCTTGTTTCTTGGCCTTTTTCTTTTCGATTTTGGCTAAATCAGCGACAGATAATTTCTTCGGGCTCTCTTTTGCCTCCTTTACGGTCGCCTCTTTTTTGGCGGGTTTCGCCGCTTTAGGTTTCTTTAATTTCGGTGCCTTTTTGATTGTTTTGCTTTTCTCTGCAACATCAACAAGCTTTTCTTGATGTTTCATGTCATCATTCTTTTTTAATTTATCTTTTGCCGTCTTCATTTTGATTTAATAAAACTTCACGTGTTGTATGTTCTAAGTGTTGGAAGATGCTAGAATCAGAAATGTTTGATGCGTGTGCTATATTATTGTCGTGCTTGTGTTATTTATATCGGTATATTTCGGATTATTATTTATACATCGGTATATTTCGGAAAAAAAAAAAAAATAAAGCCAGTGTAGGGAAACGCTCTAATCGACTATCATCCATTTTTATCGACCTCCACTGAGCGGTTTGTTATTACCATCTCTATTTGTCTTGTTATTCCTGTAAATTTTGTTAATGAATTATGAAGATATATAAGCAGAAACTCCGCGAAGTCTGGCTCCAAATGCCAGAATTTAGACAGTGGTTACGGCGAGACCCCGAGGACTCATACAGAGCACGTTGTCGTTTCTGCAAATGTGGAGTAAATACAAAGATATGCGACTTGCGCGCTCATGCGCTTACAAAGAAACACAAGAAAATGCATCCAACAACTGAAGCAAACAGAAATGACTCGGTAAGCATAGTTCTTGTGAAGCAATCTAATCTACGACCTTATTTTTCATTATTTGACCTATAGAGCAACGATGATGACTCTTCTTTTGACCACCACATGGACTACAAACCCAGAAAAGCTACAGAGCCCAAGCGTTTAAAATCCCATATTCATGACAATAAACCTAATATGAAGTTGTCTCCTGTAAAAACAGAAAAGAGCGCCAGTAATGGACCAGATTACGAGGCCATTATAGAGAGTCTGGCGCTATATGAACCAGAACAGGTACTGTTCTCCAATGGGTCCACCCCACAATCTGACGGTCAAGTGGAGAATCCTGCACCGACAGCAAACATAGATGAGGAAAGCATCACAAATGCTGTCACTGTTGCCGTGAAGAATCTTAAGGATTCATCGCAAATATTTGGCGATTTTGTTGCTGATCGATTGCGGCAATTATCGTTTGCAACATCGGAAAATACCAAGGACAAAATAATGCAGGTACTTTTGGAAGCTGCAGCACTAGAGAGGACGACCAATGGCAACTGACACGGCCTAGATGTATTTTATAAGTGTATATGTACATTCATTTGAATAAATATCACAATCAGCCTTAAGTACAACAGAATTATTGGATTACCGGTTTATTAATGAGCATCGACATATACATAGAAATAGCTGGAATTTTAGCTACGCATCAAAGCGTGTTAATTCTTTCGAAATAGAGCGGTTTGCTCATTTACAGAAGCAGCTGAGTATATCGAAATATCGAGTTAGTTCTTGGCATGAAAGCGATAACTCTAAAGATCGCATCAATCGCGTTGTGAAATAGAAATAAATTTATTTGGATTTGTTAACATTAACACAAACGAAGAAGAGAAGTTGCTGTATATTTCGAGCATGGACAACCACAAACAAAATATACCAGAGGCTATAGAAACTGCAAAGCGGAAGCTTTCCGACGACCAACAAGCAAATGCGGATACCAGTGCAATAAATAAACGCAGGAAATCTGGGGACAAAGCGACTGTAAAAACGGAGCCTCCAGACGAAATAGAGTCCGCCAGCAGCAGCATTCAAGTGACCATTAAGGACGAACCAATTGAAGAACATTATGAGTCAGCTGCCGCCGATGTTAGTGGCGTTTCTACGATTAGCACTAGCTCTAACGCCGCAACTGTTGCAATAAAAAAAGAACCAATCAACGACGATCCATCTGCTAAAACGGATGAGGATCATGATGACTCACCTGCCGTTGATGTCAATGACATAGCTGGGGCTCGCACTAGTCCCTTAACCGTTCCAATCAAAAAGGAGTCAACTAACGACGATACATCTGTTAAGACAGATACAGTTAGCAGCTCTGCAGTTATTGTGAAAACTGAGCCAAATACTAGCACACAAGCAGCGATTGCCGATAGCTCAGTTTCATCGAGCACGTTAAGACCATCCTGTCGTTTTGGCATAAAGTGTTACAGGTAAGTCAAGGGTTTAAAAATTTTTTGGATGTCCACTCTAACCATATTAACGTTTAGACGAAATCCGGCTCATCGGAGTAGCGAGGCTCATCCGGGGGATTCGGATTACAGGCGCCCGATTTTTCCAATACCACCATTGGGCACACCGGCCTGTCCATTTGGCAACTCCTGCTATCGTCGCAATCCTATACATTTTCAACAGTATTCGCATCCATCTGATTGTAAGTAATATACTATAAATAGGGCAGATGGCAGCTAAATTGCAACTTAGTCAATTCCGCCCAGAATATTCGAAATCGTTTGAGGCAGCGACGCAACCAGGCGCGAAATTCCAATGGGCGCACAGATGAACCCTCTGATCTGGAATCAGACGAGGAGGATCCATTTTACGAACAGGGTGATTCTGATTTGGATTATAAACCTGGCGCAGAAATCGACGACGACGAGGATGATGATGATCTCGAATTCAATAGCGAGCGCCAGAATTGTGATGAATATGATTAGAGTAGTTGAAAAATGTTCTCAGTGTTAATATCATGTTAAAAGCGAAGGCTCTCTGTTATCTAACAATATATATGAATGTTATAAGTAAACTGTGATTTTACTTTGTGATAGATCACTGGTTGGATGTAACAGTCGTTCATATATCTGAACGTAGCAGTCTGGCAGCGTTGGTTTGGTGTTTATCGAGACGTAAGAAACGGGCACACTGCTTCGTCGTGTTTTTACTTCGTATCTTCGTCACATCTGTGTGTGTCAGACGAGACGCATTTTTTCTTAATTGTAATTTTTTAAAGTTTTACGTCCATTACAGTGTTCAATTTGATAAAGAGTAAACACAGAAAGGTCTCAAACTGGCGGAGAAAAAAGTACAGATGGCTTTATGCCAAACCTCAGTGGTAAGCCACACGCATATTCAATTTACTGCACATATATCATAGATTTACTATGTATATTTTACAACAAATCTGTGCCCTATAAAATACAAAATTTACACTATTGACATGTACATAGAATATTTGATTCTTAGTCAATTATTAATAGTTCTTAAGTTGATTAATAATTGACAAACTGTAACATATGGAACCAAAGAAATGATTGACCTCAAAAGTGAAAGTTTGCCCCTTCAAAAGTGAAGAGCGTAAGTTGCCTTGTGCCTGCGGCGGCGGCATGTCTGCCGCTTTGTGTTCGTGCGTTTGTGTGTATCTGTATACGAATGCGGCGTGCAGAAGGATTCGCATACATGCATATACAAACATGTCTGTGTTCATGTGTTTGTTTAATCATATGTTTGCGATCGACGCGTTAACGCAAGCAAATTTAATTGCTTTCTTATTTTGTTTATTCACTTGTCTTATTATCTTATCTTAGGTTTGATAGTAGCCACAATTACGTATCGCATCTATATGTATGTCTGCAGATACATTAAATGTGCGAAAGAATGTAGCAGCCGCAGCAGCAGAGACCATGCTTGCAAACAAAAATAGCACTTGAATTGTAATGCACACATACAGACAAACAAACACAGGCATACATGCGTACATGCATAGGCAATTCGCAGTGTGAATAATAATTGAGAACTTTCGATTGAACTCCCAATTGAATTGTTTTTAATACAGAAAGACAAACGCAGGATATATCATAACAGTAAATAGATATTCATCACACGCGCACATGTATGTTGCAACCTTCCTGCTGACTGCAGTTCACAACTGCAGTTCTGACCTCAATTTATCAATTCGAATAAATTGAATAGATTAGTCACTGCAGCAGATTTTCTAAGAACTTGACCTAGTCCTCATCTATTAGACTGATAACAATCAGCTACACAGTCAGTTAAATATTGCATATGTAATATACAAATACATATATAATAGTTATGAGTCTGCACTGCTTAACCTTGTTTATATACACATGTCTATATTATTCCATTAGCTCTATTTTTTCAACTGTTGCAGGTGCTGGTTAATTGGCGTGATTTATTTTTAAAATTATTTGTTTGTTGATAATTAACCAAACTGTTTTAATTATATTGTGACAGCTGAAAGTGTATCATGCCGTTATTGAGGATGTCATTAACAATGTGCGCGATGCCTTTCTGGATGAGGGCGTCGATGAACAGGTGCTGCAGGAGATGAAACAGATATGGCGCAATAAGCTATTAGCAAGTAAGGCGGTTGAATTGAATCCCGAACCCGGCGAGCCAGGCCACCACCCACCGCCCATTGTGGCCAATAATCCAAAGGTAAGCAAGGTGTGTGTCTCGTAGCCAAGGCCTTCGATTGATGTGTAGCGCGTTTGTCCATCTTTGAATAGTTTATCTGTGTGTGTGTGTGTGTATGTGTAGAGCTAATCGTATTTATATGTATTGCACAAACTGTGTTAATATCCAAGTATAACTTGATTTAACTTTGTTGCTTTTTCTCTCTCTCTCTATCTGTCTCCAATTTCAACAACAATTGATCGCGCACATCAACATAATAAATAAATATATATACCAACACCGACTGCTGCTTTATGTATATGTAACTGCTATCATCTTACAACACACAAACACACTCATACACACTCGCCCACATACTTTGCTGCAGAGCTCAAAGGTAATGCAGTAATTAGCACTCGCTCACATAGCATATTAAACTAATTATTCTTCTATTTGATAGGCTGCTAATGCCAAGGCTAAAAAAGCTGCCGCCGCTGCGGCTGCTTCACAGCAAAGCAACGGAGGTGGCACAACCGCTGGCACCGTCACCAACAGCACAGACAACAGTAAGCTGGCAACGCCATCGATTGCGGGCAAATCAGGAAATGCCATTACCGCAGCTGGCAGCGGCATGAAGAACGGCATTGGTAGCATCAAACAGGAGGTCACATCACAGAATCCACCGCCGCTGCATCCTACAGGCGGCTCGACAATGCTGCAAAAGCAACAAGCTGCGGGTGGTGGCTCCACAACCGCTGGGCAGACTCCAATTCCTATTGTTGCCCAATTGGATCCCAATCGCATTATGCCTGTTAACGTAAGCATGCGCTGATTGTAAGAGGAATTAATTACAACAAATGCTTTGCAGATAACGTTGCCTTCACCACCGGGCTCAACAAATCCTGAATCTCGTGTGCTCACCATACAGGTGCCGGCTTCAGCACTGCAGGAGAATCAGCTTACCCAGATATTGACCGCTCATCTAATTTCATCTATCATGTCATTGCCTACTACGTTAGCCTCGTCCGTGCTGCAGCAGCACGTGAATGCTGCTCTTAACAATGCCAATCATCAGAGTAAGATAGCTACGCCCAATATCAGCGGGAACATTTTTACAATTTAATTTTATTTTGTAGAAAATTTGGCAATATCCAAGCAGCTAGACGGCGCCTTAGACTCTTCAGAGGAGGATGAAAGCGAGGAGAGTGACGACAACATAGACAATGATGACGATGATGATCTAGACAAAGATGAGGATGATGATGCAGAGCATGAGGACGCTGCCGAAGAGGAGCCGTTAAATAGCGAGGATGATGTCACTGACGAGGATTCGGCTGAAGTGTTTGACACAGATAACGTAATTGTGTGCCAGTATGATAAAGTAAGACAATCATTGTTTATATAAACAAACGAATTATTTAATATTTATCAAAAAATTTGGTTTGTATAGATCACACGCTCGCGCAACAAATGGAAATTTTATCTCAAAGATGGCATCATGAATATGCGAGGCAAAGATTATGTATTTCAGAAATCCAACGGCGATGCCGAATGGTAAATGGTAATCGAGGAGGACCGACAACAAGCATAGTGTGAAAATCCATTAGAAAAGAAATAACAAAATTAACAAACAAACAAAAGACAAACGAAATGCCTCACAGTGCGCCTTTAAATACGTTAATATCATCCCCCCCCCTCCCCCTCCACACACAGGCACGCATATATTAACACACAACTACAAATACACAGACACAACACACACACACAACTGCACATACACAGATACAACTCCAGATGAAAATGCACTAAATTACACACATAATCACACATGCACGGGCATATACTTACACCACCCACATGACCAAACGATGTCCAACAATGGCAGTCACAGTGAGATTTCCTTTAATCACGTTGCCTGGCCGGGCATATAAAATTGTATCTAATATTAGTTTTGACTATTTGTATTGAATGCGTCAAGTTGAGTTGTTTTCTTTAAAAAATTTGTAATCGTAATATATATGTATTAATTAAACTGCTCCGCATATTATTGTCAATAAAATGAAACTTTGTAAGGAAACGGAGATTTGCATAAGAACCATTACATTATATATGTAAAATACGTATATTTATAAGGATACACACCACACCACACAGCACCTAGATTGTTCAGTAGTCTTTACGATGGATGTGTCAAATTAAAAAATAGACAGTAGCTTTATGCATTCAGAGCGCTTGAGCCTTACAACAAAAAGCCAGACAACAAAAACTACATATTTTTTATCAAATCGAACCAAATCAAAACAAAAAAATCTACACAAGCTCTAAAGAAATCATAAAATTTATAGATTGTAAAATATATGTATATGTATCGTATATTTAAAATTACTTTTTTAGTTAAGGAGTACAGCATTTTACAATTAAAACACTTAGAACAACAGCTCGTAATTGGCTCATTGTGTATGTTTATGCTCTATGTACACTGCAACGGCATAGTATCTGTTTTAAATGTTTATAGATAATAATATATAATCAACATCATACATGCAGCTCGCCGCACGCTTCAATCGATACGCTGCCTCGGGGACTGCAATTTGATTACTTAAGCACGCTCCCTACCAGTTTACTATAAACAAACTAATTAAAATGACTTAATTGCAATCGTCATCGCTGTGGTCTTACGTATCTAAACTTAAACCAAGTATATATAAATGAAATAATCAGTAGCCAAATTATTAAATGATGTTGATTCCTTTTTAAAGATTTATGCTTGAGATAAAGTTCAAATTTAAATTCATAATCTATACAGAGCCTAATATTGCGCTACTCTTAGGGCACAATTGTTTACAGTACGTAAAACCAATTTGTTAATTTAGATATATATATCTAGTGTTTATATATATATATATGTATAAGTATTGCTAGACTTATGCAACACATCTATGATTCTTTAAATAATTGGAGTCGTGGAGAGATGCTTATCTCTGAGTTTAGCTGAATGGGTTATATTGGTGTTTTTGCCCGCAAATAATCTTGTGCTAAGCACCAAAGGTTCGTTATCTTTAAATGTCATTACATAATGAGCTTATTCACATACTGCAAATCGTATGTGCATCTGTGTGTGTTATTTACACATTAAGTTGTCAATAGCGCTATATTGATTTCCTTGACCATTTTAACGCGATGCAGCATACGTTGTAGTGCGTCCTGGCTGAGCGCTTGCGTTGAATACCAAACGGGCGAATCGGGTACGCAGGATCGTTCCGGCTGCAAATAGAACACATCGTTGCGCGTTTTTACACTCTCTGGGCTGCAATTTAGAAATTAATAATTAGTCAGAATACTGAAATAATTATTATCTTAGCTTACCATTTGGAGAGATAAAATTCGTATAGACGCACAGGACAACGCAGTGGATTCTCTTCGTTCTCCTGCTGCTCGTACACCTTTTTCTTGCGCGGATTGGCATCTGTAAGATATAAAGAGTGTTATTACATATTTAAATATAATCAATATATTACTTACCCAAACCTGCCTGCGGTGGATAGAATCGCAAGAGCACATTTCGTGTACCTGGTACCTTGGAGTTTTGCGATGAACGCTTCCAATGCTTCATAATGTGGGAAAATGATAATTGCATATGTTCCTCAACAGTCTGTGTGAATGTAATAAATTACCAATAAAACATTTGATATTAACCGAAAGAATAAGGTACTTACAGTTAGATTAAAATGCTTCGTATTGAAAAACATCAGCGTACTAAGCAGCACATGGGGCGAATGGGCGCCTAGTTGTTTGCATTCCCACAAATGCTCCTCCTCCACGCGTGTGACAATGTATTCTATGGGAGTAGAAATAAACGAGTTAGAAATCGAATTATATCGGATTATTATAATACGTACGCGAATCATTGTACAGCACGGAAAACTTGCGAGCCACCTCATCAAGGCATTCTGTAAAACGTTCATAGTATGGATCATAGAATATGTTGTCGATGCGTCCGTTTACATAAAGGTATTGCTGGATGCCTGTGTAAAAAACAAGAGTATTGGTAGCTGATCTAGACAATAGAATTTGGCTAATATTTACCCAGCACAAGGTAATATATTGTATCCGGCGCATACTCGGTACCATTGGGCTTGCGCACCTCCTTAACAAACAGACAGAGAGAATAGTTCAGCTCGTCGGCAGTCATTTGTAGCAACTCCGTTTTGAAGGGTCTCCTGCGCATCGAACTCTTCTCGATATCTGCATTCTTGGTCATCACCCATTGCTTCCAGGCATTGACACCGAATGTGTATTTGAGGAACATTTGTGCATCGGGCTTCTCCTGCGGCTGTTGTGCCTGCTGCGACTGTTGCTGCAGGGCCGAGTGGTCCATTTCGCTGCCACGCTGTCGTTTAACAGGCGATCGACTATTTCGTGATGGAGAATCAAGTACGGCGATGGTGCCACCACGTTTACGACCTCGCGGAGATCTGAAAAACATTTGATTGAGTTGTGAATAACTTTATAATAAATACTGAAAAAAATCTACGTTGTGACGATTCTTACATGTGATGCTGCTGATCCAGATGATGCACGCCCATTTGACCCATATCATGTCCCATGGGCGACTGACTCGTTATCGTGTTGGCCGTCATTGTTGACTCCAGATCAACAGTTGTTGTCTGATGAGGATTTTCAAAGTCGCCTGTGGCCATTTTTAGGGCTATTTGGAGCATATCATCGCCGTAATGATTATGGCTAGCGACATTAACATCCACAACCTGTTGCTGCTGTTGCTGTTGTTGCTGCTGCTGTTGTTCAAGACTATTCTGATATTGCATGGTGACCAGACCCGGATCCGGTTTGATTTCGTTGTCCGAATCGGAATCCGATTCGTGCTTCTCTTCAGCTACCATTTCGGCCATCATTAGCAATTCGGCCTCCAGTGGATCTTCGGGCATTTTATCTTGTATCTTCTTAATCTCCTTCAAGATGCCAGCTGCGGTGTTTCGTGTCGTGGGTATAAAGATTGGCACCGGTATGGGCAGAGGAATGGGCACGGGCACCGGGAATGGAGCTGAATACATATACATCGGTTGCGGTACAAATATGGGCACAGGTACGGGTATTAGCACCTTGTTCGAATAATCCTTCTCGGTCTGCGTGGCACAATCTCGCACGGACGGCGTTACCTGAGCGCTTGACGAAACGGTCATGGGCTTGCAGCTAATATTTACATTACGAACCGCCTTTGGATACGGAGGAACGGTGATGATCTTTGTTTCCGTTACTGGCGCTGGTAAATCATTGCTAGGAGTGCCGACGCTGCGCCGCAAAGGCTGCGGTGGTGAGGGCGACCGTGCAACAGTATAGTCCACGTGCTTGCGCGGACGACCACGACCACGAACCTCCCCCAACGAGGATGAGGACGAAGTAATGTTCACCGATAACGGTGGCGGTGAGTCCGCTTTACGACCGCGCTTGCGCCGCACGGTTACACTTCCAATGCGTGCCTCAGTTTCGCCGCTCGCCAGCGATTGAACGGTGGAAATAACGGGCACAACAGTTCCACTAGCTGATTTTTTATTTAAACCACCAGATGCATTATTTTTCAGGCCGGACTGCAAAGAAATTCAATCAAAGACTTTAGCATAATTGAAACTAAACGTTCATTACACTTACTTTCCACCTTAAATGCATTTTTATTTCTTCTACAAAAATTAGTATCAAATTGGAAAACCGCGTAGATGGTTTATGGACTGCATGGGAAAGAGCGTTGCCATATCGCGAAATAAGTATTAGCATGTATTTGCACCAGTTGGACATTGATTTAAATGAGCTAATATTCTATAAACAGATCTTCAGATAATCTAATCAAATTAAAATAAATTCGCATTCAAAGATATGAAATTACATTTTTCATTTTGAGTAAAATATACCAGCCATCGGTATATTTTTCTTATTTTGCACTCTCAATATCCTTTCAACACTACTAAAATGCGACTATCGCAAAAAAGGTGCTATCGATAATCGGTTCCTTCTTCAGTGTGCATTAGAGATCGAGTTTAAAGTATCAGTAAATACATACCGGCTGCTGTGACAACTTTAATTTGACCCGTTTCGGTAGTCCGGTGGGAAAGGGTGCTCCATTTTTGTTGCTGCCACGAGCTTGTGAAGCAGATAGGTGTTGCTGCTGTTGTGCTTTGCTGGCCGACGTTGACGCCACATCGCCATCCAAAGTTAGTGGCGTGCGGGCGAACTGATTTTGGAACTGCATTACGCACTGATATGTACAAAAATTGCGCATCGATGCATCAGACATGGTGAGATGGTATTGCGGGGTGCTTGTATTGCTGCAATTGTCGCACTTGGTGACAGCACGTGCTGAAATGTTACAGCTAACGCCATGCATGGTCAGACAGTTGATGGAACAAGTGAGCGTCTCCTGGTCGTTCTGCTGCTTGTAGATCATATCAAAGTTATATTTCTTAACCTTGCACCACTGGCATGAGACAATGTGTCTATTGACAATAATGTACACATTGATACAGATGCGCGAGCAGAACATTTTCGGCGCCTGCTGATCATTGCTATAAATTGTGTATGCATCGGTGCTCTTTCGCTCAAAGTACTTGCAGCACATGGAGCACGGATCGGCATTGACGTTGCTCACAAACTTGAAAGCCGAAAAGCAGGGATTCGAGCAGAAATAGTGCTCTTTGTCGTCCAACAGCATCTCTACACGCACAGGCTTTTCGTTGTTGCAAACGCCGCACATGTCCGTGCGTAGTTTCTTTTTGGGATTGCACATATTATCATAGCGTCGCAGACATGCTTGCGAACAGAAGTCCTTGAACTGATCTTTGTCGCCGACGGGTGCCAGAAAGCCCTCCTGTCCGCTGCTAATATCCTTCTGACAGCAGCTGCAGGTCTTCAGTCCCTTCTTGTACGTATTAAGGCAGGCCGCGCAGCAAAACTGACGCACCTCGAAGCCAAATCGGACGCAGTATTTGCCCAGGGCAATGGAGCTGACCTCCTGTTTGCAGGTTTCGCAGTTGCCGCCAAATGAACGCTGATAGCTGCCCAGACACACCTCGTTGCAAAAGTCCATTGTCTCCCAGATGAGCTGCTTGTCACCCACATTCACCTCCTGCTGGCAATCGGCGCAACGTCGCCTAAAGCTCTCGATGCGATCGAGACGCGCCGCTTCCGCTTCGGCATTGGTGCGGGCGACCACATTTGTTTCAGGCTTCTTGCTGGGCGAGCGTATGGTGGTGGCGCCAATGTTTCGTACGCGTATCGAGTGACGTTTCAATTTGTATTTATCTGGCTCTTCGGCGTTTAAGAGATTGAAACAATCATCATTGCATATGTAGTACGTATCCTGGTCTTGCCGGAGAAAGTATTTGCAATTCGTCTGCTCCTTGCACTGCAGGCAGGCGTGTTTCTTGTTCGTTACAGCGGCGTCTATTGCATCACCTTCATTGGGCTCAGCAGCAGCCGTCGTCTCCGTATTCCCACTTGTGTCATCATCAACGGCAGCCACACCGCTGGACTCCTGACTAACCTCCTCGACCAGGAACTTCTTACGCCGCAAGAAGTATTTGCCCGGCTCGGCAGCCAAGAATGCATCACAACACGCCTGATCGCATAAATACTCGAATGTACCTCCTGTTGCAGGTGCTTCACTTGCTGCCGTCTCTTCAGCATTTTCATCAGCAGCCGCTTCGCTCTGTTTGAAGCGATAAACGCAGGTCTTTTCAGTGTCGCACTGTTTACATTTTTGTGTGCTGCCCACTATCCAAACGATGGCTATCTTGGCAGTTCCGCCCGCTTCATCCTCGGCAGTCCCCGACGCTTCGTGGGTTGGCTCATCAGCTTCCTGGGCATCCGCTTCAGGAGTATCCTCGTCGTCATTAGCTGCAGTGTTCACTGTGTAATGCAAAGAGTTTTATTATACATTTTATTTCTCATTTAATAAATTAAGTATTAAGTTTGATATCCTTTGTGGCTAATTCTTGTATTACTTTAGTTTATGAAAGTTTTGAGAATTATTTGTAAAGCTCACCTTCAGGGCGCTCTGAAACATCAGCTCCAGCTGGCTTATCAGCCAGAGCCTCTGCTGCTCAAATGGAGGATTAAATAGGAGCACACGGAGAGCAATCGACAGCTTAGCTTAACAATTAAATTACAATAACTTAGCTTATTTTATTACCGTTTGCACTTTCAGACGTGTCTTCCGTTTGTGGATTCACAGTACTCGCGGCCGCATCAACCTTGTCGCTTTGTGCTTCTGTTCCAGCTTCAGCCTCATTGACAGGCGATTTCGATCCAGATTGCGTTTGCTCGGCGGCTTCCTCCTCCTCCGCTGCCTTTTCCGCATTCTCTCGGGCCAGCTCCTTTTCGGCCTCAGTTACTTCCGTTTCGGGATCGTCCGGTATAAGACAAACATCAGATTCCTCGGGCTCTAGCACATTCTCGACAGTATCTGTGTAAGTAATCAAAACATTGTATAATTCGATTTTATTTTTGTTTGCAACTACACTTACCATCTCCATGCTCTGCTTCGGCTGTTTCTTCCGTTTGTTCTGCTTCGCCAGCTTCATCTGGTTGCTCGGCCCCTTCATCGGCTGCTTCATCTTGTTGTTCGGCTTCGGCAGCATCTTCAATTCGCTCTGTCTCGGCATCGGCCTCTGCATTATCTGCATCATCTTCTTCGTGAGTGGACAAATTGTCTGTAGCTGCTGAAGCATTTTGTTCTTCTGTCCTATCAACTTCATCCCTGCCCTCAGAGGGCGTGTCTTCAGTAGACTTGTCGCCCGTGTCAGTTTGTTCACCTGCTGCATGCTGGGAGTCGCCCCCTTCGGATCGCATTTCGACATCATCGCCATCAGCAGTTGTTTCTGCGGGCGCAGACTCTGCTTCGGCATCGCCTTCCTCGTCTACTTCCATAGCTTCAATGGAAGCGGGTGCACCATCGACTGCATCTGTTTCAGACGCTTCTTTGCCTTGCTCTACATTTTCAAAAGCATCATGTTGTTGCTGAGCTTCTGCTTCAGCATTGGAATCTATATGGTAATGCTCTTGCTCTTCATCTGCCGCAGCTGGCTCCACATCTTGTTCTGATGCATCCTCAGCGCTTGGCTCAGCTGCACTGGGCGCTGCATCCAATTCTCCACTATCTTTAGGTATAGGATTTAGTTCATCTTTTCCAGCAGCATCGGATTTATCTTGCGATTGTCCTTCGTCCATGTCTAATGAACCTTCTGATATCTGCTCGAAATCGTCATCCTCGCCTGTTGCTGGCGCCGTAGCTATTTTTTCAGCTATTTCGCCAGCATCTGCACTAATATTTTCCACAGGTGATGGTGACGCAGGTGTATCCTGAAGAGCTGTTCTTGCTTCAGCTTTCTCCCTTGAATTGTCCTCGTCCAATTTGGATGTTTCTGATTCAGGTCTTGCGCTCGAATCAGCGCCAAAAGATTCGAGACTGGATATTTCCTCCATTTTATATTAACTGAATGAATCGTTTGTAAACTTTTAAGCGGGCAGGTACCGAAACATTAACTGTAAGTGAATAAATTTGAGCACGAATCTTCATTAATTTTATTCATCTTCAACCAAATTTATCTTTATTGTATTCATGTATGTATGTATGCATGCAATATAATGTTAGCCCCCATTGTCGTTTCGCGCGCATTTCATCCCCAATGCATATCGATAGACGAATGACAGCGATATTTATCGAATGCACTGCGAGGGTCTCACACCACACCGCCTAAAATGTGTACAAAGTCACTAACACAGACACACACACACACAACACAAGCATAATGATGTGGTGTACAGTGCACAAGAAAACAGAACATGCGCCACAAAAAGAGAAAGAAAAACAAATAGTATAGAACTTCTTCAGCACCCAATTCAAACTTCTAATTAAAGCATTAAACACATTGCAATTACTTTATGTCTGCTGCACAGTGGGAAATGTAGTTGCGTTCTGGCGATTGCGCCGTTTACTATATCTGTATAAGAGATCCGACGTCGGCAACGAAAATCCAAATGGCAAACCATTAACTGCCTTTCATTGCTGTAATAAGCGAACAACACTTTTCCAGATTTTTTTTTAGCACGTGCACTAGCTTTGAAAACTGTTTACACTCTTTTTCAATTCGCTATTTATATTTTTCAAGCACTGTAACACTGTAACACCCGGAAAAATGCTGTACGAAAACCACAAGTTGAGGACCAGATAGGGATGGCTAAACATATCGATAGTTGCAACGCAATAGCTTGCTGCATGTGCCTCATCTTGAACTTAAATGGTTCGTTCGCTCCTAAGAATTTCCGTTCAATTATGTGAATAAAATATTATATAACCAATATTTAATCATAGCTTATTGTAAAATACAAAAGTGCCGTTTTGATGCGAATGACTGGGCAATAAATATAGCGACCTCTTAGTATTTTTTTGTATTTCGATGATAAATATTTATAATAAAAAACAATCTACTGGTTCTCTTAGAAACGATGAATCGATAGAAGTAGAAATATTGTGTATTTATTCGCAATAACTAAAATATTTGACATGATAAGACAGGGCTGTATCACTAACCAAGCAGATCTCTAGGATTATGTTAAAAAAAAATACCAGAAGACTATTCTCTTACACTGAAATTTTTCAATGCTAGAATTTACATAGTTATGTTAGCTTGTTGACTCAGGTCGTCATTAATTAAGGCGAACGAACAATGAATCCTTCCGCGTCCAGAAGCATGCTGGGAAAATAGTTGATAATCTTAATGAAATGTGGAAATTGTTGTGTATTTTTAAATATTAAATTATTTTCTTTCTGGTACTCCTGTACTATTTGAATTATTTCGTTTGTGGATAGCGCCTGTTTGAAAATAGATATTTTAATTAATAATTTAATGAATGCCTTATAAATATATATAGAATATACTTCGGTGGCTAGCCAGAATTGTATGACGTAGTTAAATGCATAAATCTGCAGTTTTTTAAGTCCAGGTTCGTTTTTAAGAGCAGCTGCGTTTTCTACAATTTTCTGAAAAGGTATCGAAAAGTATAGTTATGCATGATATGAGAGATATTGAAGTGCATGGAGAACATACGGTTATGCTAAAGTTTTCCAGATCATAAATATTATGACGGAATGCCAGATTGAAGGCTGGTAATATGCCAGCTAATGGCCATGTAATATTCTTTAGCTCTTGCGAGAAGCTAAGCATGAGGTCTGGTAAATTATATGCACAGGACAATATGAATATATCCCCAATAAGCAGTAGATCGATTTGCGCCGTTGCCAGTTCAAATGTGTAAATGAATTCGAGAAAGATTTCCACACTCTGCGGCGAGACTCCGTTTATTTGCAATACTCCGTTCCAGCTTTTATTTTCGAATATGTCATGTTCCAGTTTTTCAGAGGCGGTTGCCAGAAATAGGCGATGGCATTTGAATTTCCTATAACAGGTGCTGGCACCATCATCAGCACTGCTCGCATTCTTCGCCACATGTACCTCACAATCGGAATCTATGCCGCTCCGCAAATATTCGAGGCGGCGCTTCTTGGTCGACGGAACATCTAGGCTAATAGGTGTCTCCGTCTTTGCGATCTGTGCTGATGGGGAGGCAACTTCATCTGGGGCCTCTGACGCTGCGGTAGCCGCAGGGGCAGGGGCTGGCGGGTTGGACGATCTAGACGGTCTTGAACTAGCCCTGTCAGCTGATTTTCGAAATTTTGACATTTTATACCGACAATTTAAGCAAGCTTTAGACAAAAATCTAACAAATAAAACCAAGATATGTATGTACATATGTACATGCTACTACAAGGAATAAGTGAAAATCAAGAATCAAATTTTAGAGTGAAACTACATTTCAGGAATTATCGGTTTTAGTACCAAATTTATGTAGTGTATCAAGTTCTCGAATATGTAAATGATGTTTTGCAAGTTACGTCGTTTAGAATTGCTCCGTTCTGGACAACTGTCGGATTGTGACCTAAAGGTGTGGTATACGAATAAATCGATGACTTGTTGCTGCCGCGAATTCAAATGCCACAGGATTCTGTTGGCGTCCGCCTCGGAGGAGTTTGAGAGCATGTTCCGTGAAACGGATTTCAATAAATCCAAGCTGGTGATCAATGTGAATGACGCCATGCCCGATGCATACGAAACTCTGTTGCTTTATATATACACGTATGAGATATACAATGACATCCAGATTGAGATGTTCCCCGATCTTGTCTATTTGGCCACCAAATACAAAATGCCCGACTTTGTGGACGGCTACATTGGCAAATTCGTCGATAAGGAATGGCCCATGTCTACGGTGCTCAAAATGTTTCAGTTGGCCAATGAGCATAACCGGCCGGCCATGATGAAGCTGGTGGGCAAGGTAACTGCAGTTATTTATCAACTATTATAAGTATTCATCATTCTCGCCTCTGTTGCAGAAAATTGTGCCAATGGCTAAGAGGCTGATCAGTGACAATAGTTTTCTGAAATTTACCGTTAAGGAACTGCATGCTCTGATGTTAATTTTGAAAGGCGCGAACACAATTCCCGACAATGAATTGCTGGTGGCACTGAAGAGATATCAGAAATGCAATAATCTCTATTATAGAAATATGTGCTGCTTTCAACAATTTGTCCAAGTGACGCATCTGTTTGGTGGTTTGCTTTTCGAGCCGGACGGCACTTTGGCCGTAAAAGACGACAACGAGACGGAAGAAGCAGAAGTGGCAGCGGCGGCAACAGCAGCAGGAGCGGAAGCAGCAGCAGGAGCGGAAGCAACAGGAGCCGGAGCTGCAGGCGCAAGAGCAGAAGCAAATGCACCAACAGCTGCAGTACTAGCAGCAGCGGCAGCAGCACCAACAGCAGCAGCAGAAGATATACAAACCGGCCTACGACCAACAACTGAATCAAAATCACAAGCAAAATTGGAAGTAGAACTAAAAAAATATTACGGGGAAGAGGAACCAAAGCCACAGGCGAAAGAGAAGGAATCTGAAACACCACAGCCACTTGCAGAAGATTCTGAGAAAGCTGCCTCACCAATAGATCCAGACAAGCCAAAGAAAAAAAGTTGTAAAGCATTAAGAACAAGACGCAATATTTGCCAACTATTGAACCCAAATTCAAAACGGCAATAGTCCCATATTGATGCGAACGTTACGCTCCGCTAGGCTAAATCAATCAAGCAGCAGTTCTTCATATTAGTGGCATTTGTTAGTTTCAAAAATATCTAGTTCGGTTCATAGTTTCAATAAAAGCATCTTCCTCAATTTTACCCGCACAGCACACAGCTCGAAACAATATAGATTGGAAGGTGGTGAATGTAGATATAGGTTTAATTTGACCTGAAAGACCATCTAGATCTGTAGATCATCGAATTCTTAATACTCAAGAATAACTTTTATACATTAACTTTAATTGAAACGCTTAAAGATTAGTTACCATATCAATAGAATACACAATATTAATTGATTGAAAACGATCCAACGCAACAAACCTTATATAAATAGATCAACTAACTAGACTGATTTTCCATAGTTAAAGTTGATTTGATGGACTTAAAATCTAAATGGGATTGGAAACATAATGGCTGATGTCGGACGGATGGATCCCTATGATGCAGTCACAATCAGCGCATCCAGGGAGTCCGAGTCAAAGTCCGAGTCCGACTCCATATCTTTAAGTGGCCGCTTTCTCTTGACCATACTGTGTATAGGGGCTTAACGCATAGGAAATCTTCGTTGTCCAACTTAACGTCCTCGTCATACGTTTGCCCTTGATCTGTTTCTTTACAATCAATGGCAACATCAAGTTCGCCTGACTTCAACCTCCTTCTGCGGAAAGGGAGGATTAGTTTTTCATTCCTCTTCATGCTCCTCATTTGCCGCCGTGTAAAATAAACCCTATGATGCAGTTAGGGGCAGCACAGCCAGGGAATCCGAGTCTGAGCTCGAATCCGAGTGCGAGCTATAGTCCGATGCAGATTCGGAGACACAGTCAGAGTTTTGCTTTTGTTTTGATTCTTTATCATAGAAATCAAATTCGTCTGCCTCTTCCTTCTTTTGCAAAAGAGGAACAGGAAAAGGAATAGGAGCATGCTGAACTATCCTTCCCCTTTCGTGTTCCCCGTTTGACAGCCCATATACTAACCCCTAGGAAGCACTCACAGGCAGTGCATCCACGGAAGTCATAATGACATCCGAGTCCTTCTCATCAACGGCCCCATTTTTTATCATCCCGTGTATTGGTTTGACGCAAAGGAAGTCTTCACTATCTAGCATAACGTCCTCATCGTCTGTTAACTCTTCATCTGGTTCTTCCTTAAATTCAAAATCTGCATCATCTTCGTCATCTGCCTCCGCCTCCACCTCCTCTTCCTCGACTTCTTCCTCCTCTTCTCCCTCCTCTGATTCCTCTTCCTCTGATTCTTCTTGCTTTTCAGGCGTCCGCTCTACAGCATTGTTCTGCTTCAGGTTGTTTGTGGTTGCCACCATAGGGTTATCAGCATAAGCTTTTCTGCTGTTGTCTAGCGGCTCACGTTTTGCAGTTTTGATCGACTTTTTAAATTGCTTAATGTTGAGACCCGTCTCCTTGGTCTGAAATTTACATGCGACCGCAATGCGCAGATTGACTATCAGCGAGAATAGCTTGACCGTGGGTCCCACTTTCAGCTTAAAGTAGGTTGTCAAATCTTTTCGTCCCAACATTAGCAAAGCTCGCCCATCGATTTCTTCATCGAAAAGCATTTTCGCAATGCTGGAGGATTTGAGCGCTCGCTCCACAAACTCATAGACGTCCCAGTTGGTCCAGTAGAGCGGATTGCTCCTCAGCTGCGTCATATCAAAGTCGCTGTTCCGTTGCCACAGGCGATAATTGCGTGCAAGATGTGGCCCATATTCCGTCACAATGCTCTTGGCTATAGCTAGGCAGCGCGGATTGAGTTCGCCCTGTCCAGCTGGGGCTGTTTTGACCTTGGTATCAGTGGGTAACGGTGTTTTTACATCGCGCCTTATGTTTGCCGGTGGCTTCGAATCTAAGCTCGGTCGTGGTGTGTCCACTTTTTTAAGCGCATTTCCCTTGGTTCCTAGCTTCGAATCCGAGTTTAACTGCGATGTTGAACTCGCTGAGGAATCCTGTACGTGAGTCTGCGGCCTTGGAGACGATCGCGACTGTGACGGCGAAGAGGACAACGACGGCGACAATGATGGTGACTGCGATTGGGACTGCGACATGGAAGGTGAGGGTGACGGCGACGGCGACTGTGGCATTGGTGAGTCTGCTCGCTTGATATGCTCGGGAAGGACACGTGGCGGCTTTACCGTCTTGGCACGCCACTGCCGCCAGTTGTCCGGCGCATAAGGACAACAGTCGCGCAGGGCATGCATGTTGAGATTGAAGCGTTTGGCGTTTCCGAACCCACGACAGCCTGGCACATCGCACGGCATCAGCGGGGGATCCTGCTTGAAGTTGGGCGGAACTTCCAGCTCATGTGAGGTAGCCTGACACCAACCGATCGGATGTAGATCTGGACTATCATCCTCCAGCCAAAAATAGTACTCTGCAGGCCAGCAATCCAGATGTAATTGAATGCGATAGCCCTTGCGTGTGATCACTGTCGCTGGACGTATCAGGCAGGGATTACGTTGATCGACTACCTCGAGTTTCATGCGTGCTTGAAACTCCATGGGTTCGCGTGGCTTGAATAATCTTTCGGGGGCTGCAATGCCTCCCGTTTCTTCAATATAGCTCGCCCAGTTGAATGTAAGATTCTGATAGTCGGGTGGCACGATCAGCTGCTGGCGACCATCATGCCAGCCGCAGGGATGGATATAGGGCGAGTTTATGTGCACCCAAAAGTCGTAGCAATCATCCCAGCCATCAAAATGTACGCGTATACGTTCATCTAGTATATCCGCAACGGTGGCTACACATATCTTGCCCGTATCATTTAAATCCTCCGCCTCCAGGTGCATGCCCACACAGAAGTCATTTATCTGCGTATGGCTGGATGTTTTCAGATGGGTGAAGAGTATTGCAGGTGCTGCTTCAGCATTTGTTTTCGACAGATACCGATGCCAGTTAAATTTATCCGAGCAATAACCTTTGGGCGCTTGGAGTACACGCGAGGTTCGTTCGCACCAGCCCGGCGGAAAAATGTCCATTGAATCAGCGTTGACCCAAAAATCATACATGCTCGGATAGCCATCGAAATTGAGCTTCAAGCGGTAGCCACGCACTTCGACAATGGTGCACACACAGAAGAGCGAACAGTTCTCGGGATCGATGGCCTCCAATTTCATGCCGAGCTTAAACTGATTGGGGCTAATAGGAAACGGATTTGGGAAGAGATGTATTGGCGCCGCACCACCATTGCCTTTCATTTTCAGATATTCGGTCCATTTAAATATTGGCTTCGATTCGTTTAATCTAGGCTCACGACAGCGTTCCTTTTCACGATTTTGCTTCTGCAGCTGTAGCTGTTGTTGCAGCTCTAGTTGTAGCTGTTGTTGTTGCAGCTGCTGGAGCTGCTGATGATGCTGATGCAGATTCTGTACATGACCATTCGTTGCCCTTGGCTCCATGCGACTTATTTTGTTTTCGCTGGCAGCGCTGGGCGGATTAAGCTGGCGACGTTTGGGAACGCGTCGCACGCAACTAATCGAGCAAAATCCTGCAAAGAAATGGAATATTAGTTTGTGGGCACGATTTGTTTAGATTTTCGAGTTGACTCACTTGGTGCCAGAAAATCAGAGGCGGGTCCATGGCAATTGCACCGTGAGCATAAGTAGAGCAATGGATCGCTGTTGCTGTTCGGTCGGCGCACAGGTCGATCAAAGAGAGATCTCTCAAAGTATTCAGCTGGACCTTGACGTGGTTCACATCGCTCTGCCAGCTGCAGTAAATTGTAGCGATTCAGTTCGAAGCGCATTTTAGAATTCTGGAGCATGCTTGGCTGCTGGTCCCGCCAGCGCAGCATGCTGAAATTCTGTTGCATGCTGCGCTTGAAGGTGCTCAATGCAAAAGCAACATTTGGCACCAGGTCAACACTTTTGTTTTGCAGTCGTGAAATGGGTGTTATCGTGATGGTTCCCGACTTGGCCACATTGCTCGCACAGACGGACAAAGGTGAGCTGTTATCCATAAGCTCATCGCAGCGCAACGACTTCTCAAATTCCTCTTTAGTCACCGGCAATGTTTCCGCTTTAACAATGTTGATGATGGCACCATTGCCTGGATGCTTTATTTCCAGCGGCTGCTGCTTGGGTTGCTTCGGCTCCTCCGGTTTACTGCATGGCAGAATGATCATTTCCACATCACTGCTGCAGCTACTTGCAATGCTGCTACTCCGACTGGCTGTTGAGTTTTTCCTCGAAGCTGAAACTGAAATTATTGGAGTTGCTGCTTGCTGCACTCCTTGTTGCTGCTGCTGTTGCTGTTGCTGATGTTGTTGCTGCTGTTGCAGTTGCTGCTGTTGTTGCTGCTGTTGCAGTTGCTGCTGTTGTTGCTGCTGTTGCTGCTGTTGCAGTTGCTGCTGTTCTCTCTGCTGTTGCTTCTGCTGTTGCTGTTGCTTCTGTTGCTGCTGTTGCTGTTGCTTCTGTTGCTCTTGCTGTTTCCGCCTTTCCTCTGCCTCCTTTTCCTCCTCACTGTCATCGTCGTCTATAGTTATGGTTTCTATATGAGTTGGCTGCTCCACTACATCCACCTCCTTGGCCATAATGGCCACCGAGTGCCGTCGCTCCGCTGCATTGTTTTGTAACAAAATGATTGTCGCATTCTCTTCACTGCCGGCCAACGATTTGGAGCGCTGCAGCTTGGGCGAGCCCAGTTGCTCATGTGACTGAGTTAATTTTGCGATTGTTGTTAGCGGTGTTCCTGCTGGCACGATTGCTGCTACTGTTGGCGCTAGTGGCGGGGCGGGCGTCACTGGCACAATTACAGCCATAGGACTTGGTTGTACTTTCATAATTTTGGTGCTATTTGCTGGAGCTGCGGGTAGTGGAGTAATCTTGATCTCTGGCAAAGCGTTGGTGGCCATTGCCATGGATGTGGGCATCGAAGTGGGCACCAGCGGAGGCATAGGAGGAGTGTTCGTTGCCGTGGGCATGCAGCTGGACCCAGTGCCAGGCGGTGACTTAGAGTTCAAATTGTTGCTGTTGTTGTTTTTGTTAGCGTTTTGATTGCCGTTCTGGTTGCAATTGGCCTTCAGTGGTTTGGTCAAGACGAGCGCCCCGGAATTAGCCTGTGCCTGCACCTGACCAAATTTCAATCGGATTTTCTCCACAGCGGCCTTGCTCAATATAACCGGAGTTTGTTTTTTCGACAGCAACGAAATTTGGGCTGGCGCAGCTGCGGCTGAAAGCAGAAAACAAAAACAAAAAACGAAATTAACATTATGCAGTAAATTTATATAAGCATAAAGGAAAAAAAAAGAGTGTTTACGTATGAATACTTGCATACATTCGACGCAGATATATATGTATGTATAAATATATATTTATATATATATATATTTATATATACATATATATATCAATTTATATACTTTGATAAAAATGAATGTTTCTTGTTGCTGTTGTTGTTGTCGTTGTTGGTAATGTTGAGTCACTCGGGAAAGGCTAGGCTGCTAAATATTTGTTGAATTCCATTTTGCAAATTCGAAAGTTTGAAGTATTGTCCTCGCTGCATTCCTTCTATACAAAATACCAACTTAATGTTTTCTTCACTCGCTCGCTTGAGGCAGCTGCAGCTGCAAAAACCTGATCATCGTCATAGACGATGTGCACGCCCGCCCGCAACTTTAGCATATATATACATATATAAATACATTCATGTCGAACACACATAACGTTGATAAATAACAACAACAATGAGAAGAAAAAGATGAAGCAAAAACAGAATAAAACATTTTAAATGTTATATTTACAAGTCATTTTTAGCCTCTTCAAAACAGAAACTGCCACATAAAACGTTTGTGACATCAGCTTAAAACCAGAAAATGGATTTCAGTTAAATCATCTGTCAATCGATTTAATAAAAACGGCAACAGCAACAACAACACTAACATAAACTGAAAAACGTGAACTATATAAATCTCAAAATAGCCACATGAAACTTATTTTCGTACTCAAACTAATTAATATTATGAAATAGAGAAAAAAAGTTGTAAAGTCGTTAAACGGCAGTAATATCGCTAGTTAAATAGACAGCTACAATGATAACAATAGTATAATGTATAATAGTAATAATAAAAGACTACACTCACACACACGCACACACACACACAGGCATACACAGTCAGAAATTTATTTCAGCGCGACCAGCGACAACAAACTAAATGAGCGACTCGCAGCAAATGAAATGGATTGAAAGGCAAAACCGAAATCGAATCGAAACGAGGCAGCAGAGCCAGCAGCAACAGCATGGACAACAACACAAACAATTACATATGTATGTATAGACGTTCATATAGGGCTATGCTATATGACGATCGAACTTCAAATCTTAATCTATATTATATAAGTACTAAAATGGAACTTACCCGTTTTAAGTGAACCTTTGGCAGCCACCATATTTATCAATTGCGTCTGAGTTGAGACGGCAGCTGTCCCTGATGACTGAATCGGACTATTGTGCATGGCAGCATTTTGCTGGAGTTGCTGCTGATTCTGTTGTTGCTTCTGCTGTTGCTGCTGCGGCTGTGGTTGTTGTTGTTGTTGCTGCTGCTGTGGTTGTAGTTGCTGCGTCGGCACGGTAGCCAGCGTGGTGGCCGATCGTATGAGCATAGGCGGTGCTTGTGCCTGTGGCTGTGGCTGTGGCTGGGACTGTGGCGGTGCCTGTGGTTGTGGTTGTGACTGCAACTGCAACTGTGGATTACCCTGTGCAGGTACAACCGTCTGGACATTGGTCTTGGTGCAAGTGGGATTGAGCAGCGTTTTGGGTGTCAATATTGAGAGCAGAGAACTGGCATTCCCATTGGGTCCATTACTAACCAATTGTATAAGAGGCGGCACTGGTGCTGTTAAATTATGATTATGGTTAAAATTAGTTTTGAATGGCTTCGGTACCACATTTATTGGCGTTAGTTTCGGTTTAATAGCAGACGATGCATTATTGTTAATTTTTTTACTAATTTTACTATTAAATTTACAAGTATTACTGCTGTTATTATTGTAGTTATTTTTAGTGTTGCTAAAGTTATTAGTTATATTACAGGGTTTGGCTGGCTTTGGGGCAATGGGCACAAAACGCATCTCCTCGGGCTGCTTGACCGTGGCCGTTGCCTTGTTGCTGAATGATTTTACAGGCGACATCGTCTTGGGCACTTCTCGTTGGGGATTTACAGTTCCCACATTGGCGGGCAACATGATTAATTTTATTATATTTGATTTCAAACTTTAATGTTCCTTTTCGATTGACAGCACGGACACTAGTATTTGACTGCTTCTTTCAAAACTTATTCAAAGTCAACTCAAATGGCGTCTTTTTACACTTTTCAACTGCAGGCAAAAGAATTCGTACGTTGCCGCACAAGTTTTGGCATTTTATTCAATCACTACACCTTTGCCCAAACATTCGGTATTTTTTTCGCGGTTAATTATTCGTTTTCGCTTAATATGCATAGTATTTTACTATGGTGCGTATTTGGGTTTCAAAGTTTTCATATTTAGCATAACATTTAAAATATATCCTGTTGATTATGTATATATTAAATATTATCACGCGCTAACTGTTTTGCAAATGTTAGTATTTAATTATGGATTTTTTGCGCTGTAGTATTTTATCTGCCAAACATGGCAGTTCCACGTTGTTGCTCGATTTTTAAAAAGTTTTCAGTTAGAACGACACATGATTTTTCCTGAAACAATTGAAAAGTGTTAGATATTAAGTAGAATGTATTGGTTTCTAAAAATTAAACATATTTATGATAAATTGACGGTTATAATGAGTAATAAGACGCCGTTAATTTGCGCGCCTGTTTGACACTGCATATATTCAATCTAGTTGGCAGCACTTCGAATGAAGAATATTGCTATAAATTGTTGGTATGCTGCATAGAGATTTATATATTTGCTTAGACAACATTTACAACATTTACTAATGGCTCAAGCCCACGTGCCGGATTTATAGCTACGTTAACTGCATCTTTAACAAATTAGTCTTTAAATTTTTCAATTCACAGTTGTTACGTATGTCTATGACTATGACTATACTGATGCCAATGTCATATATACATATATGTATGTATATATGTACATACCTTATCTGGGCTTTACTTATTATGCCAAAAGCATAGTTAAAATTCGCATTTACTTTAAAATTTAGATGATGTAAAACATAAACAATGATTACCTTTGAAAGTTGAGATGAATTCAACTCCGAGCAATTGTTCTACCATTTGCTTTTGGCTGGCAGGAACATACAGAACTATAAATGGAAAAAGTTAACATTGAAAATGTAAACAGTTGGATAAAAGATAAACATTACCTTTTCTTAGTTATAGAGATATTACAAAGTTTTTATCCATCTATACGGAAATGTATATTTATATACTTTGCGCAAATGCTAACCATTCTTTGACTATAGAGCAACACTTCAAGTATATATATGTATATATATGTAAATAGATGTGGACTTTTTAACGCTTTATCAGGACAATGTATTAGAATTCAGCACAACCTTATAGTTTTTAGTTTTGTTGTTAGTTACTAAACGACCTGTTTTCAGTTCAACGTTAAAAACTACAATGGCAAAAAGCATGCGTGTGTATTTTAATTCGTCGATCGAATGCTTCCCAGGTGGCAACTCTACAATAAGTCTCATTTCGGTTATTTTTAAAATAATCAGCATTAAATATTGATTTTGAGAAGAGTTTTCATTATGTTTTTCTCTTACTGTTGATTTAAACATAACTTTGAGTATAGCTTAAGATAACATAGCTATTAATTATTAAAAATTTTCCCTCAAACGGCGCTTCATAACGTTAAGCAAAAGCAACAGTTGTTTATTGTTTTCATCAGTGATATGCTTAATAGGGGCATCACTTTTAGGTAGTGAATAAAATTTTCTTATTCAACGAACATAAATTTTATGTTGACATGATATTTTTTTCATAGTTTTTAGTTTTAAACTATTAAGATTCTAGTTGGAACTGCTGCTTCCTCTTTGCTCAATTTCCAATTAAATGTAACAGTGCTGTAAAATGATGAAAAGCTAGTGTGGAACAGCGTATTTTTAACCAAAAAGTGGTAGTTTAGTATTCCGTGTAATTTCTCTTAATAAAATAAAAAAAAAATTCATTTAATTGATAGTTGACTGATTGCTATAACATAATTCAGCATGTCGATAATCAACAACGATGATAACATAATGGCGATTGACGAAGATCCGCAGGGTATGTGAATTGTATTGATGTGGATGTGGAACAGTTGGGCGCGTCCAACTGTGGGAAGAGTAATAATTTCATTGGTTCTTTTATAGTTATTATCAACGATGATGAACCCTCGACAACGCAAAACATCGCGAATGGTCGCTCTATGGACTCGCTGCGCTCCTCATTTACCAATCAGAGCTCAACTCCAGATTCATCTCACAATTCGCTTGACACCCTTGACGTGGGGCCGGACGACATACAGGAAAAATCTCGTTTGATTACGCAGGTTCTGGAGTTACAAAATACTCTGGATGATTTGTCACAGCGCGTGGACTCTGTCAAGGAAGAGAATCTAAAATTACGCTCTGAAAATCAAGTGCTTGGTCAATATATTGAGAATCTGATGTCCGCCTCTTCTGTCTTTCAATCGACGAGCCCGAGTGCATCAAAAAAGAAGTAGAAGGATGAGCGCTCCCTACCGACACAAAATATGCCTTGTCATTTTTGATATATGTACATTAATGCTTTTGTTATTGCTGCAAAGTAATTGATGCTCGCTAATCTGTCGAATTTGTGCACAATATAATTTGTACTATTAGTTAGAACATACGCTTATATATGCTATACACATATACCATATATATTATAATTATATATAACTATACACTTTAATTATTTATTAATATAGCTAATTAATAAATCAATATTAACACGCTGGTCATTCCCATGTTTGAATATGAGATTTTTCACTTTTTGCGACGGTTGGGCAACTCTAAATCGTAAACAGCTGCCAGCTGGTCGTCTCACAACAACAAATGTAAAGCAAAGAACCTATTTTCATTATTACAAAACACAAAAAGTGTAGAAAAAATAACTGCGTAAATATTTTAAATTCGCCTTATAACAAGAAAATGATGAAAATAAGTATAAACATCTGAAATGTGTACGATTTGAGTTCAAAATTGTAAGCAATAGGTGAAAAAGTGATTGCGAAATACGCAGCAAACAAAATCGAATGCACATTGCTTTGGCCCCCACTACAGGAACACCAGCAGCAGCAGCAATAGCAACAACAATAACAAAAGCGGACGAACGCCAGTGTTGCACAACCTTCAGAAAAATTGCTGGCTGAATCGCATACACGCACATTTACTTACATATGTGTATCAGTGCGATTGTTGTTTAGTGTTCAATTTTAATACATATACTCCAGTTGTGTGCCTTCTTTTTGTAATGCAACGCAATTAAGGAAGTCAACGTCACAGCTGATATCTGTCCATGCCACAGCGCAGTTAACGTCAATGCGTATGGCGGAAGCAGCGCCAGCGCCAGTCACAGCTACATACATCATCAACAACAACAACAGCAGCAATAACCGTATAACAGTAACAACAAAGACGGCTGCGCTCATTTAGAGTCTCGAGCGAACAACAATCATACCAAAGGCACAACACTCAGACGGAGATTTTATTTGAACAGCAACTGTCGCACTCATACAATCACAATTTACGCAACTACAAGTCAAATGAAAAATGTGTTGATCTCCTTGCAAGCGTTGCAAACAATTTCTCTGTGACGCACCGAGCATCCATCGGAGCCACCAATCCCTCAGCGTAAATTTTAACAACCTTCAACTAAAGCAGGAGCGATGTCGTTCTCCGATTTCGATGCCATCTACGAGGATGAGCAGCTGGATGACTTGGAGCATTTCCAGGACCAGACAGTGATGCCAGTGCCCGAGCCAATTATCATACGAGGCGCGGGCAACATGACGGTGTAAGTGAAGAGTAATCAAATGAGTATAATGTATGTACATATAAACATATACATACATATATGCATTATACGCTCATACATATAGTATCAATTCTCAATGTAGCTCAAGGCTCTTGATACCTAAAAATTGAGTGTGTTCTCTGGCTCGTATTCATTTTGTTTACATTGATAGCAGGCGTTCAGCACATGCGTTTGACCTTCTGCTATTTGGCGGCCAGTTGTCAATAATTGATTACCTGATTGACTGACTGACGGACTGACAGGTTGCATAACTGAATTAGATAAATATAAACAATGCGAATTGCGTATACGAATTTCTTCTTTCTTGCATTGCAGCTTTGGCCTGAGCAATCGGTTTAATTCCGAATTTCCCTGCGGCTTGCTATCGCGCGTTGCGCCGGAGGAATTCAAAGCGACCATCGGTCGCATCAATGGCATATTAAAGAAGACCCTGCCCCTGAATGTCAAGTGGCTCTTTTGCGGCTGCGTTTGTTGTTGCTGCACCCTGGGCTGCTCCCTCTGGCCGGTTATATGTTTGAGCAAACGCGTAAGATTGAAGCATTAATCATATTCATGCATATTTTTCTCTGATAATGCCAATAGATATTAACTGTCCTCTTATCATTTGCTTGCAGACGCAACTGACACTGGATAAGTTGCTCGAGTGGGAAAATAGTCATTTATATCATAAGCTCGGCCTGCACTGGCGTTTACATAAGCAACAATGTGATTCCAATTCCATGATGGAGTATGTTATTTTAATTGAATTTATACCCAAGACGCCCATCTATCGGCCCGATTAAATATATATATATATATATATAATATATATATACATATATATATATAGGCAGTGTGGATCATTGCAGTCGTTGGGGCAATCGTTTGGGAGGGGTGTTCATTAAGGGGGGCCTGTAATCGTAATTGTAAAATATAAAAAAAAAAAAAAAAAAAAAAAAAAACAACTAGCAACTAATAATTATAAAAATAATTATAACAATAGTTATGCTTTAGGCGTTTAATCTTGTGCAACAACTAAACACAACTAGTTTAGTGAAACATACACATACACATTTTAAGCTAGTGCTAGTTAATATGTAGTATTTAGTTTAAACAAATTTTTGAAAGAATATATATATAGCTAATAAGAACAATTGATTTCTCGCTAGTTTCTAATGCGTTTTCATATTTCGTTTAATTCCTAATTCTTGAATATATTGTTTCAAATAATGCAATACTAAATACAATTCTTGTTAAGAAAACTGGAAATCGAAAGCTGATTCTTGAACTTTTGAATGCATTGAGGTGTGCGAGATGCAGAAATGGAAGCCGACACTTAAGAACTCTTTAATGCTGCATTCGATAAATACTTGTATGCATATATTTATATATATATATATATTTACAACTTTCCATCAATTTTAAGAAAAATACAATCTTGATTCAGCTTTGCAAATTTACATAATTTCATATATTCATAAATTATACGGTTTCCATATCTGCTTCGACTTCGATATTGCTTAAATATCACTATGTATGCGTATATATTGATGCTTCAATAGATTTAATAGCACAAACAATGCTTAAATATAATCAAGTCTTTTAACAATGTGGGCTTTGCTCTAGGAATATGTATATATATAATCTATATATATATATGCCTAAATGTTTTTTTTTTTTCTTTTCAAAAATTAAGGAATGTGATTGGAAATGTTTCTGGTTTTGGACATTAGGAATGGCAATATTATAGTTCTCTATTTTTGTGATAATACTTGATATACTAGGATATATTAATATATATATTAACATATTTTTGCGTCGATCGAGCTTCTGCTTTGATTGGAGGATAATTCGCTGGCTGTGTTAACAGACGATTCCACTGCAGCTTCGGTCTCATTGCATTCATCACTCTCCTGCGTTTCCTCTTCGTATTGCTCCAGCTCTTCGTCTTCTTTGTCCGCCTCATCCTCCGTCTCTTCTTCTTCAAGCTTTTGAATGTCCGCTGGCAGCTCAATATCAGGTTTCAGTGAGAGGCTGCTACTCGACCTGTCCTTTTGCTGCTGGACCTTGGCTTTAGCGGATGGTTTACTTTTTGCCACCTCCTCTACCTCGTCCAGCTCACACGGAATTAGCTGCTTGGCTGCCCGAAGCAGTACGTCCGTTTGTTTACGCAGAGCACTCATGACCAAATTATCCTGCTTCAGCTGGAACTGATGCTCGCGACGTGCAAACTGCTTTTGCTGCTGGAAGAAATTTTGGAGCATCTCTTTCTGTGCCTCCCGCATTGCAGTGGCCAGATGGCTAAGCTCCTTCTGGAATAGCTCATCCTGTTGTTCCTTGCGACGCTGCGCCTGTTCAGCGAGCTTTTGAGTCCTCTGTTCTTCCGCGGCGGCAGCATCTTCATTGTGAATGCTGCTTTGCTGATTGGGGCTCTCGTAGAGTGTGGAGCTGCGCTGCAGCTTGATGGGCACAGGCGACGATTGCTGACCAAATTGAAGACGCCGCTTCCGAGGAGGCTGTTGCTGTTCAGTGAGCAGCTGCGCCTGCCTGCTCGTCGAGGCATATGGAATGGAATATTTCGGCATAGGCT